TTGCACGTGCGGGCAAAGTCAGTCACACCATTGCGCCTTAGTCATCAGAGCGCCCTTCCTCTGTGAATCGCTAAACAGAAGAGGCGCGCTAATGAGAAAGGCGCAAAAGATAGGCCTGACTCCGCCCATAACATCAGCGAGAGCTGCCCTTATCTAGCAAACGTTCATGAAGCTGCTCAGCCACAAGTTGTAAAAGCGAGAAAAAAAAATGAACAAGGACCTTTTCAGGCTCTTCTTCGGATTCTTTCCGGTGGTCGCGGTTTTCGATTCTGTGTACTCGCAACCCATTTGATTGTTCGTGCTGCGGTTTGAGCATGAGCGCATCGATCGGGGTGCATTTCACCGTGCACGAAGTTGCTGCTTCACCGAAGTCGGACACAGCCTGAAAGAAGTTGATCGCTTCTGAATCACTTCAAGGACGACCCAGCGGCGCGCCTAAATCTCACCTTGCAAGTGTACACTCCGGAATCTTCTGGGTAGAGGCCAAGAATGTCCAAGCTGACATAGTCGAAGTTTCGTGCTGGCATGAAACGAGATGCTTCGGGAATCGGCTGGCCGTTGACTGTCCAGAATACCTGAACAATGCATCAAAAGTTTGAGTACGACTGAAAGAAATCTTCGGGGTGCCACCTTGAGCGTTGGATCGTTGACGGGGACCAGTCGGCAATCAAGGCGCACTGCATCAGCCTCGGTGGCTTCGTCGATGTTCTGAAGATAACGTACTTGGTTTCATAAATAAAGACATCAAAAAGGAAAGAGCCGAGCTCAACTCCTCGACCCACCTGGAGCTGTTCGGTGAACGTTGGTGGTGGGAATGACATCTCGGGTGATGGTGGACGAATCTCCTGTCGATTCTCCATCTCCTGGATTTTTGCCCACGAGGATTCGTGCTGCGTGTCGAGGTAGATGTTGCGTCTGGCTGAAACATGAGGCCATAGTCAAGCTCTAAAGCCCTCCAGCAAAAGGGTAGCCTACGTTTGCATTCGAGTTTGAGGCTGGTCTCGGCTTGGCCGGCGTTGTTGGTCGCTCTGCACACGTAGGTGCCGGTGTCTTCTGGATGGATGTGCAGGAATTCCAAACCAACATAGCCAAAGTCGTGGATGGTGCGAATACGTGATCCAAACATCAGTGGTCGGCCATCGCAGAACCATTCGATCTGAAGCGAACTGCTCAGTGAAAATTCCGTAAAAATTGGATGATGGTATACACTCTGCGGTGCAGATTACGGTAAGTATTTTAAGTGCTGAACCTTCAAGCGAAGGATCGTTGATCGGCTGTACAACACAATCCATGTGCACACTCTGGCCCTCTTTGAGAATCTCGCCTGGTCCGGTGAGTTGCTGAGTGAACACGGGCGCTTGTGGTGGCAATTCCGGTTCTGAACAGTTTGTGATGACGGAAAAGATTAGTAGCACATCGCTTCATGAGAAGCAAAACTAACCGCTCGGCTTAGCCGGCTGGAGTTGTTCGATCTCCTGAATTCTTCGCAACGATTCTGGATGGGCTGTGTCGGCCAAAATCGATTTGAGGCGTTCCACGTCGAACTCGCATGAAGTCTCAGCTCTTCCTTAAAATGAATGAATCTTCCTGGGAGTTCCATATTGCGGAGCAATCGCCTTTGAGTACCGATCCAATGCGAGAACGTCGCTCAAATCGGGGCAGCTCAGAAGTTTCAATCGAAAAAAGCTCACCCTGGATGGGCTGTGTCGGCCAAAATCGATTTGAGGCGTTCCACGTCGAACTCGCATGAAGTCTCAGCTCTTCCTTAAAATGAATGAATCTTCCTGGGAGTTCCATATTGCGGAGCAATCGCCTTTGGGTACCATCCAATGCCAGAACG